ATTCCATTCAAATTTCATATTCTATATTTTTATATACCAATTTTGTATACTAACTTTTATATTTATTAGATATTTAGAATTTTTTAAAGGTATCTCATAAATTTTTCATAAATATATTTTATATCCAATATAAATAAATTTTTGAAATCAATTACAATTATCATACCATTCAAATTTCATATTCTATATTTTATACCAATTTTGTATATCATTTTTTATGTTTATTTCGATATTTAAACTATTCTAAAGTTCATTCCACGAATGTGTCAACAAACTGTTCGTAATTTTAATACATTAGAAAAGCTTATTTCTCGCGTTGAAACGAATAAAAACCGCAAATGTTCGCGAATCGAACAATTTCTCTTTTTTCTTCTTTTACTTTCTTTTCTTCTTCTTCTTTTTTTTTTTTAATATTTTTACTTTTCATCCTCGGTAGACGAGGATTTAATTAGACCTGGATACTGTGCCAGACGTAAAAACGAGATTTTCTTCGATGAAAACGGGCGATGAGTTTAATGAGAACTTGCCGAGTAATTTTATGAGCAACGCTGATTCCATGAAATCGATTTCGTTTCGCGGAACATCCATTCGACGCGTTTCGACGTTTAAATGAACGGACATTGCGATTGTGAGAATCGACGGTCACTGATTGCTTCTATTTACCGAGATTAATTAATAGCGATACGAGAGGAATAGTACGTATTGCAAAAAGATACTTGGTTGTTTTATTTCAATTAATATTTACGTATTAAGTGATATTTTGAATTATTCTCTTGTAGAAATGGAAGACAGGGAAAAATGTGCGAGTACATTTACATTCTATTGTTAATGATAGATAATAGTTTGATGTCATATTTTCTTGTTTATATATATTATTTATTTATTATTATATATTATTATATATTATTTATTTAACATACATTTTTATAAATCAATTTCTTACTTAAAATTGTGCATTTAGTTTAATAAAGCGTTCACTTCTAGTTCAATAAATAATAAATAATAGGTTTGCATGATAAAACAAGATAGGATAAATAATGAAATATTTATTGACGAATATTTAATGATGATTTTGAATTTTAATGTGGTTTTTTACATTTTTTCTGTAATAAGATTCCTAATTTTCTATATTTTTCTATATTAATTATTTTTTTTTCCCTGGATAAATTAAGAAGAAATGAGAGAAATATTAATCAAAATATAAAATATTTTTGGATTTTAAGATTTAAAAAATCTTAGAAACATCTAAGAAATGAAATCACTTTCTTTGTTTCGTTGTTTATATAAATTAATTAAACTATTCTTAGGTATTTACAAAATATATAAGTATACTTTATAACTTTGAAAATAAAAAAAATATAAATATCTATATATCTATATATCTATATAGATCTATATAGATATATCTATATATCTATATATCAAATAAAAATATCTGGAATTTCAAATACTATAATGTATCTTGAAAAATGAAAGAGTATTAGATACAGCATTATAATTAAAAAGAACAGAATTTTATTCTCATCTTCTCGTAAAAATAAAAATAAATTTTATTTTATTACGAGTTAATGATTTTATTTTTTCTTAAAATATATAGTAAAAAAGATCGAGAGTCAAAGCATTACCATTATCAAATCATATTTAAATTTCACAATGAAAAGATATTAAAAATAATTTTAATATTATATATTATAAATTTATAATATTATAAATTTGCATTTATATAGCATACATATATACATATATATATAAAAAGTAAAATATTAAATGTCGAGAATTTACTTTTTTTTATTTTTCTGGCAATGAGATTCGATTTTATGTATATCTACTTAAACACTTTAAATTCTATCATTGGAATAAATCTGATAGAGAAGAGACGTATCCGATTGAAATTCCATTAGCCAGACGTGTGCGAATTTCAAATTATACGTACTAAATATCGACAAACAGTCCGTCAATTTCGAGCCAGTATCGAGATTTATTCAATTATTTTGACAAGTGTCAAATACTCAATCGAATTAAAAAAATTTCAGAATAAATTTCTTATTCTGAATAGCGCTCTGATAGTTTTAGGATATCGATAATCGTGGATTAAATTTTGATTAAATGTAAAATCAAGTATTAAAAGAATAACTGAAATTTAAAAAATGGTTATAATATAGAAAATTTTGCTAATACTTCCAAATATTTTTTCAATTAAGTTAAATTTCTGATATTATAAACATATATATCTTAAAAATTTTTTAATAAAATCTGATCATCTCTTTTGAGAATTAAACGACAATAAGGTAACTATAAGCAAACTTTTATAAAGATTATTAAATTATTACAGTTTCTCGTGTAATCATTGAAATCTATTAAAAGGCATGATCCTATTATACATAATAGTAATCTGAATTATGCTAATACTTAAGTAGAAGAAATATGTATTGAAGATTTAACTTGCAAGAATATTTATTAACACTATAAAATTCTATAAATTATATTTTATGTATATATATATATATCTTATGTATATATAATATCTTGTATCATTTAAAAAATAGAATATATTATTTAAAATATTTGATAAAAAATATTTCATAATATATTTATAAAATAAATATATTTTTAAAAATATATTTTTAAAAATATATTTATTCCTATAATAAATCAATTATTATTTAAATATATTAAAATTTGAATCTTTTTCTATTGAATTGTTCAAAAATATAATAATAAAATAAGTAATTTACAAATCAATTGATAAAAAATGACAACAGAAAAATAAAGTAATGCCACAAATATATATATGCATATAAAAAATTATATATTTTTTTCTATAATATTATATTTCTATAATATTAGATTTCATTATTTATGTCATTAATTAATGAAATAATTTTTTGTATATAAATTTATATATAAATGACATATTTTTTTAACTGTAAACATTATATTATAAATATTAAATATTATTATATATTATTACATATTATACCGTACAAAAATAATATAATGTTATACAGAGCCTCCACTATATAAAAAGTAAAAGATTTCATATATATAAATATAAATATTAAATATCATTGTACAATATATCATATAAAAATAATATAATGTCATGCATAGCATCCACTACACAAAAAAGTAAAAGTAAGTCAGGTGGTTTTACGGATATTTCGCAGATAGTATATCTTCATTCTCTACGATCGCAGACTTATCATCGCAGACTCGAGCCTTCGACCTGCATCGAAACTATGTCGAGACAACGAGATAAGTCACGGAAACTCGCCAAAGACAAGATAAAGAGGCTTCAAGCCTTGAGCTCCCAATTTTCACGTCCGTTGGAAAATTGCGCCGTTCCGAACCATCTCTCGCCAACTTTGCATTGTTGACAATTATCGATTACAAAGCGGCGGAAGATCATACCTTGGTAATTTTCAGCCAAGTTTCACGGATAATTCTGTGCACTTCTCGTTCAGTTTAAAGGGGAATAAACAAAAGGTGGAAGATTACAATCAAGATGATGTTGTTCAACTGTTATTTTCGTTTATATTTGTGATTCGCAAATATTTATCCTTAGATTCAAGTTGAGGTTACAATATTAATGTTCAAGTTTTATTAGTTATAATGGGTTTTAAACTTGTTTGTAAAAAGTTTTATTCGAGTTATAATGTTTATTTAAATATTTTAATATAGATATAACGTACATTTAATTTTATCATTATGAAATATCTTTCTTATTTTTAATAATATTAAAAAATATTTTGAGTAAATGTTTTTTTTTATAAATGATTGCGAAGATATAGAGATCGTACGAAGACACTAATTTTTAAATGAAATTATATAAATTTTTAATTTAAACTTTTTTTGTCGAAAAATTATTAATTTAAGAGTTATTTTGAAATTAATAATATCAAAATGCATTTCTTCTAAAACTATTCAATTTTTATCTGAAATAATTTTTAATATTAACAAAAACAAATGAAATATTCCAAGTGATAAAGTTAAGTATTATTTTGTATATCTATATTTAATATCTATATTCACTATACAAATGAATGGAATTAAAACAGAATAATAAAATTATATAATTGTGTTTAAATTTATGTTATATAGATTAGAAATTAAAAAATAAAATATGTATGGATATGATTATCTTTTACTGTAAATAAGTCTTTTGATTTAATCTCACTATTTAATCTCACTTAACTTCTATGTATATTATCTATATATATTAGCCACTATGTATAAGACACGAATGAGTAAATTAAGAATTTTTGTAAATCAAAAATTTTCTTCAATCCATTACACATCTAATCCAAATTTCTTTAGCATCTAATTCAGATTATTTATCAAAAATAAAAACTATATTATTGAAAATTACCAAACAAAAATGTTCAAAATCAATGAAAATAATCATTTCTTCATAATTTACGACACTTTTGATCAAATTAAGATTCTAATCTCTTAAATATCATTAATAACAAAACAACTGTTATTTGAAATTACAAATAACAAAAAAATTTTACTCTTAATTATGTATCTTATCGAGCAGATCGAATAAATCATCAATCAAAAAATAAAAATTGAAAAAAAAAAAAAAAAAAAAAAAA